CATCAAAAAAAGTATTATATGAAACAATTTCACAAGATTAAACAATTTCATGAAAAAATTTCATAAGATTAAACAATGAAATCGACAGATAAAGATGGTTTGCACGGTTTACATAAATGAGGGCGGTTTTCATATGATCACTCCTATATATATATATGTGTGTGTGCGCGCGCGCGCATGCACGTAATTTGGTGGGTGTTCAAGAAAACAATTTATTTCCTTTAGTGACAAGTATACACACACAAACCAGCTAGCAATGTGTGTGTTCAAATTAAAGGTATAAAGTGAATGCGAAGGCTATCTTGCTTTTAAAGCGATGGATATTGAGGTTTGCATGCATGGCTCCTTCACGCCATATATAATGTAGTATTTGCGTATATGATGATGAGTGCCAGTGGGTGTCTCTTTAAACCTCTATGGACCTGCAGTAGGCCTTTAAGTACCATTTGCCTGCATCTAAAGTTTCTAACTTTCTATACTTTACACCAAACCAAATTAACAACGTATATATTGAACCCTTTATTAATTGGTTACAGAATGCATGATCTGCATGGTGTGTAATCATCACTTAAATCATGGGATCATGAGTACGTATAAAGTACTAGTAATGAAAATGGTATATTAGATATATGGAAATTACTAAAGAACCCCCTTGTTATGAATTTCGGAATGTATAGATCTGAACCCATCTTAGCGAGTTTTGATGTGGCTTAGTTTATAGTTTCATGCTTACCTTCGCTACGAAGCAAATCAATGAGATTGGCCACGTGAACGTTGGAAACGTATAAAGAATTAAGTACGACTCAAGTTTTCCTTCCTTTTCGCTTTTTGATCTTGTTTACTTTGATGATATATATATAGTCGACTTTTAAGCCATCTTTTACTATGTGCGGTTCACATCTGAACTATATACGATATGGTGGTTCCACAAAAGTGGGATATGTACGTCTATAATTGATCAATAAGAGTTGGAGTGATATTCATAAGATCAAATAAGAGTTGCAGTGATATTTAAGGTCAAATGATCACGGAATCTAACAATATGAATTTCAAGCTTCATTCCTTTCTAATAGAGGAAATAAAATGTACTTAGCCAATTACCGAGCCTTAGAATTTGGTCCCTTATTACCTATTTGGTTCATGTGACGGTCGTGAATTGGGTTGTTTACCAAGGTCCCTCGGTTCCCAAAATAGTCGAACAAGTCGATCAGGTTATATGTTCCCAGGTGGTAAGGTCACAAATCTTGTACCATAAGTCTCACACCTTTCCATACGACCTAGCCACACATACCTCAAGTGCCCACGTTGCGAATCGTCTACAATAGCTACTGAATGACTTCAAGGATTTTAACACGACTTGACCATGTGACTAGCTAGATAGCTATTTTGGATGGGACTCATTACAAAATAACCTACTTTTACTGATTTACTACAAAATATCTACAAAATTCGTATAATGGCTTCAGAAATCCTATTTTTTTTCGAGATCGCACAAATCTTAACTATTTTATTGTGAACAAAAAAGTACTTCTTAAGGTTCACCCAACTCTTACTTATTTTGCAGTATGCAAATGAGATTATTTAACTCTTATGATTATAAGTATATAAATATATAATTGATATTTTTGTAAAAATATATTTTGAAAATTAATATTTATAGGTTTTATATATTTCAATTGTTTAGTTTTTAGAGAAACCAAGTGACTTTTATTTTGGCATGATTCATGACTTATTTGGCACTTTGGTAGGAAGCATATTCTATGGAATAATAGTTTTACAAATGCTCATAAATTTGCATTTTATACTCCTTTCATTCAAAAACAATTCAATATTTTTAAGTTTGATAGTAATCACTAATTTGGATTATTAATTAAATTTGACTTGTATTCACATACTTTATTTTTCTTTGTCTTAAGGGGTTGTTTGGTAGTTGCTGAATGATTTAGTATAGAATGATTAAGTGGTCAGAATGATTAAGAGACTCTCATGATATAGTGCAAAATTAAATATAATTGTTTACAATGAAATTAGGGCGCTGACTGGTTAAGAAAAACCTATGATACAAATTATTCAAAGAGTTTTAGAACCACTAAGAGACGGACTTTTTTTTGCCAAACAAGATTTATCTCTTAACAATTTAGAGGTCGTCTCTTAATGAAACTATTAAGAGGTAAACAAACAACCCCTTATTCTAATAGACACACATGTTTTTATTGAAGGCTTTTTTTTGGACGGATGAATTGTCGGGTAAATTCTTAAGAATATATTAATGGATAAATGGTAAATTTTTCGTTATTTGAACGTTTTAGTTCTCAAATACTATGATATTAATAATTAAAGATTTATGTTTGGAGGTCTCATGTTCAAATTCAAGAAGGAATAAACATTTTTTTAGAGAAAATGTTTGGGTGTAAATTTGGGAGGAATGGGTAGAATATATATCGAAGTAAATATCTTTTTTTTTAAGTATTTAATATTTATATACGATATATGTAACAAATAAACTCACACACTCTTTCACCATTGGTGAGGTTTGAACCTCTGACCTCCTATGAAGCCAAAGACTATGATACCGTTAAACCGAAAACCCTTTGGTAGCAAATATCATATTTAACTTCAATATTTATAAAAAATGTTTTAATTGTTAAAATTAAATATGACAGTTTTTCCATTTTTACATAAAAAATAGGCCTATTTGTACATGTTAAGTTTTATTTTAATTGATCAAACAGATAAATTATAAATGTAATGAAATATGAAAACATCAATATATTAAAAGGTGTACAAAATCTATTAAACAAGTAAGATTATTATTATCTGGAATATAATTTTAATAATCATAAATTAAACATTAATTACATTGACAAATCATTCAAAACCCCGATTAGAAAAAGTAAATTACTTGTCTTTGATGTTTGTTTTTTTTATTTTTTATTAACCTGAATATTCAATCCACTATGCAAGCCGACTAATCTCAGGGCGACCACCTGCTTTGCAGATAGCCCGGAGTTACCGCATTTGAACCTCCGTGGTCACAAGAGGATTTTTATTTCTCCTTGGATTTGAACCTGATACCTTCTGATACTTTTGACCTTTGGAGCCAAATTCAAGCCAATCAGGCACCACCCTTGTGGTTGTCGTGTTCGTTATTTTCAAGGAAAACTATTCGTAGTCTTTATTTTTTTTAAATTGTCCTCCACTTTAAATTGACGCCCTTTGACCATCTCTAATGCCCTCCTCATCTTCGACGCCCTTCTATTGTCTTTGGTGAACTCCGTCTCTAGTTGCCACTGCAACACCAAAAACAGATCGAATTGCCACCACGTAGGTGCAATAAAACAAGATGTCGAACAAGATAAAAAAAACGGGTGCTATGAGATGCAAAAACATATTGGTAGTTGCATCAACAATTGTTTTTGGTATGGAGAAAGATTGAAGGGTAAAAGTAGCATCAAATGTATCAACTAAATGTGGATTCCAAAAACAAAAACTCGTGATTCACAATCAACCTAATTTAAGAAACAATGCGGTGAAGAAGAATAAACACCATCACCTCCACCGACGTACAAAAAATTGTTTGTCTTAACTCTATACTTCATGATTATGGTGATCAGGAGGTAGTCAATGGTCTGATTGAGTGACCATCAGATTTTTTGACTTCATCTCATAAAAAGCGTTGTTTTCCGTCTAGATGTAGTCAACCCCTTTTGATACCTTTGTTTCTTCATCACCGTGTTGCAACCAACACTTTGGACATGTGTTTTTGTTGGTTTTATCATGGTTTTCTCGTCGAAAAGAGGGCATATTCACCAAAGAGAAACGGGTTTCGCGATAGGGCAATCATCGAAGATCTAATTCCATTGGGATTCACTCATCGATTTGGATAGTGGAAGTTTAATCAGAGAACTATCATTTAATCAGATTTAAGAGAAAAAGTGAATACATAGAGGACAAATCTATACATCTATTAAATAAGTAACTTGGGTGACACACGTCATCTTCTTATGAGTCGATTATCTTATTTTTCCGCCTAAACATGTATCTAGACACAATTTACATTAACAATTCAATTATATTCATTTAATTGACATGTGTCATCTTCTTCAATCAATCTTACTAATTTAGAATGCAATTGATTTTATTCTTTGGTTAATTAATTCGTGTGATAACTGATTCCCAAAAAAAATGATGTTTACTTCTAAGTTTAAATTCAATTTATTGATATAGTTTCATTTCTAAATTTAATTTAATTCTAAGGTTAACTTCAAATTATCCCATATAATATACGAGATCGAATTTAGTTGTAATAAATAAAGATAATAAACTAGAAATGGGTGAAATCCATGGACTAGAACTAGAATTAGAATGGAATACCTTTTCCATTATTTTATTTAAAAAACAATATTGTGGGTGTCCATATAATCACCCCTCTTATTTCCTCTCTTTCTCCCCCACATTCATACTTCAATCTTCCTTTGATTTCCTCTTTTCCCTCTTCCAATTCCTTTTCGATTTCAAAATCCCCAAATTGCTTTTTAATCTGAAGATTTCTGTCTTCTGTTTCATCACGAAATCTTATACATCAATGCTGGAGATTAATGTTTCCAGTTATTGGTGAAGTTTTCTCTTCAGGTTTTATGGTCAAATCATTATTCAGACGCAGGACCCATCTTGTTCAATCTTTCTCCGTCGTTTTCCTCTACTGGTTTTACGTTTTTTCATGAATCAATCCTATACATATCTATCTGTTCATCCATCTGATCTGGGTCTTGCGTCTTAATCGATTTTGTTTTGAGTTGTTTTTTTTTTTCCTTCTGTTTTTGTTGGTAAAATAGTTTATTACTTAGTCAATTTCTATCATATCCATGGATTCTTCAAGAGGGAATTCATGTGGGTCAACTCAGATCCACAACTCTGGATCCGATGAGGATTTGATGGATCAGAGAAAGAGGAAACGCATGGAATCAAATCGGAAATCGGCTCGGAGATCAAGGATGAGGAAACAGAAGCATCTCGATGATCAAATGGCTCGAATCAACCAACTCAAGAACGATAATAGTCAGATCTTCATCACAATGGAAGTCACCACACAGCAATTTGTTCAAATTGAAGCCCAGAATTCTGTTTTGAGGGCTCAAATCGGTGAGCTCAGCCAGAGGTTAGATTCCCTTAATGAAATCATCAATTATATGAACAATAACAATAGCAGCAATGATTATGCAACCAATCATTGCACAAATGGTGTGAATGGGATGTACGAATTTGAGCAGACTGATTTCTTCAATCATCCATGGAACATGATGCATCTTAATCAACATCCAATCATGGCGTCTGCTAGTGATGTGTTACAGTACTAGTCATTAATGCATGAAGGAGTATGGATGAAGGGCTAATGCATTGTTGGATTGTACCTTTTGGATTGCTGATACTTGAATATGTTTGAATCAAAAATTGTACCTTTTTGTTTTTTCTGTGTTAGGTTTCTATTATTAAAGTTAAGGTATTGATATATGTAATACATATATACATGCATGTATATATATATATATATATATATATATAATATACGTAGAGAGACCGGTTTAGATAATAAATCATGATAACGTAAGAAAGAAAGGTTCAAGGAAGAATTATATATAAATCATAGAAGAAATCCCGGGAAAAAAAATATTATTTGAAGATGTATATGTGAACGGACGTTAAAAATTATTCATATTGGTTAATACAAGCATCTTCAACTGGAATTTTTCAGTGATTTTATGATTTATATATTGATATTTTTAAACTTACTTTTTTAAAACATATCAAAGAAGAAAAAGAAAAGGATAATACGTAAGTATGCATTGAAGAGATGTATGACAGTTATTTATTCATTTTGTAGTTGTTTTTGATTGATTGTGATAAAGCGGGCCTCTTTGTTCGTTCGTCAAGATTATATATAGCTATTTGGAACTCTAAATACGTAATCGTTTAGATGTTTCAATAGTAATAGCAAGTTAACAAATTCTATTTCCTAATTCATCTACTGGTCTTATCTTACAAGCACCAGACTATTGCGGTAGAATCTATTAGTAGCATTCAAGGTTAAACATGAGATTCTTATCTCATTCCATTCCAGTGGCTCAACCACCTCAATACAAGACAAGCACATGAAAGGATATTCAATCACCTGCTTTGTGAGAGTACGCGATCATGACAAGACTCGAGGAAGAAGCCCCTTTCGATCTTGTACCCACAGAGTTGTACACTGAACACCAACCCTTCCTTATTTTCTCATTTTCGAATGATTGTCCCATTCCATTTTTGGTATAACTTCAAGCATGTACCCGAAAAAAGTGCTCTCTGAACCGAACACGAAAGCAGTTTCTTGACCAACTCTAGGTCCAATAGAAGCAAGCCCTACAGCCAATCCAGGCGAAAGAATTATACTTTTCTCAGCTGACTATTCTTTGACCCCTTCAAAAAGATAAAAAAAAGAATGTTAATGGTTATCCCCAAGGTTCAACGAATGAATGAAGCTACACTATATATAAGTTTTGTACTCTATTAATTTCTCAGTCCTTGTTGTGCAACCTTTCCTCGGGTTCGTAGAGTCAGATTTCTCAAGAGTGGGCTCAGCAGTCGGCCTATCTTTCCGGGCTCACGCATAAAGGCATGTTTAGTTCCACAAATCGTAAATAGGTTCTCAAATTTTATAATGGAAAATGCAGTCTATTTTAGATCAACTGATCAACTTGTGCGCTCGTTGGCTGAAATATTTAATTTCTCTAGTCCGTGAAGTTGTGAATAAAGTAAATTCTAAGAGCTTGTATAAGCTTGTTTACAAACTAGAGCAGTAACTGAAGAGTTGTTTGTTCAAAGTTGGTTGCATACTAGAAAAATAACCAAAAAGTTTGTTTTGCTTATCAAGAATTAAATTTAGATTGTTAGATTTTGTTAACAATTATACATGTTTTGGAAGTAAGTAGTGATTTTTGTAATTAATCATTGATAATCGTTGGGTTTGAGTCAATCGGAGACTATAAAAACCAATTGCTGAAGAAAGATTATGTTACTAATTTCATTTTATCACTTATAAAGGGTGGATCTTCATTCTCTTCTTTGCCCATGTTGTGGCAACGACTTTGAGTCGATTGACCATTGCTTCATGAATTGTTCGACGATTTTTCAGTTGTGGAAGGGATTTTTAATTGGTGGGGTGGCGTCTCTTGGCATTGGTATTGATTGTAACGTTCATTGAGTTTGCGGATTCAAAGGCTATAGCGATGTCAAGGGGGCTCTTTTGGAAGGTGGTAATTGTTGGGGTAAATGAACAATAAGGTGGTTTTCTGAAATCAGAATTGCTTGGATTCTTGCTTGGATCATGTATATCACTTTCTGAATAAGATATTTCGACCTTATACCCTTGGGTTGCATGAAATTCTGAATATGGGATAATCCAAGAATGAACAATCTAATTTCTTAGGCACATAAATTAGATTACGTTACTGTTGGTTTTTGAATATATCAATCCTTAGATTCGAGTATCTCCAGAAATCAGATAAGACCAAAGACAGTTATAGAAAGTTATGAGAAGGTTAACAACAATTAAGAACCCAAATGGGTCAAGAACCAAAAGGAGTCTGTTCCAACAAGCTGCCTTCATACAAAAATATAGAGAACACACATCAAAAAGATGTTGTTCCATAGAAACTAAATTTTGGTAAAGGGGCGCTACCCTTTAGACTCCGCAAGGGGGCATGACCCCCTTGACCCCCGCCTTTTGGTCGTACCAGGATCAATCTAGTCTTATACAAGTTTGCACTACGCACCTTCTAACTTGCATAAAAAACTAAGTAAAGATCTCCTTAGATCTCGTATATTTATCCCTTACACCGAATGAAACTGGTGACACTAAAATCACCAACAATATTTTGGACAACTCTTTACTTGATTTGGTGCAATCGTAGCAATCAGAACTCTCAAGGGGAAATCTAGATTTCATATTGATTGGCTTTATGCGCAAAACTTCTCTCCTTCCATTGGGTCTCAAAACATGCTAAAAATTTCTACATCTTGTGGGTTGATTGGTGTGGGGGCAAGGTCTTGTCGGTTAGCTCCTTGTTGTGGTTGTGGTTTTCTCATTGTTTTGTTGTTGTGGTTTTCTTTGTTTAATGGATCATGGTGATTTTTCTGTATCTTGTAGAATCTGTACCTAACTTTCTTTGTACTTCTTTGCTTTTGTCTAATATATTGTTTTGTCTTTCAAAAAAGAAATAATCATTTTTGGAATTATGTTTTTAAGTTTAACACTTCTTGATGCTTAAACACCCCCCCCCCCCTTTAAAA